ATGAAGTTAATCGATGTCAATTGAATTAGCTGACTGAACTGCAGTTTTAATGACTTTTCAGATTTTGATAAAGTTTATATAATCAGTGGAGTCCATAGAATTAACTATTTTCTTTTATATTCTAAATAGATAAGATAAATTCATCTAATGCATTGTTTCAACTTTTATTTGATTTAACATTAGCAATGAAATTCAAAAGTGATTACGGATATATTTATCATAATTAATAAACTTTATTTTCTATTTCTAGCAATAGAATTACGAGAAAAATAGAACTAAGCGACATAATTAAGAAACTATTTTTATAAAATTCTTCTGAAGTTAAATAGACATGCACTTTATTACTTTAGTCGATCAAAGTCATTTATATTTTATATGTTTTTAAAACTACCAAAATCCATCATAAGAAATGGCGATATTATAAAAAAATTATTTTATTCCATTTTTACATATAAAGATTATATGTTATAGACAGTAAACATGATAAAAATTTTCTCTGATTATTGATTATTTACAAAAGCTAATCCTGAATTCATAGTTAATGCCTTCAAACTATTTCATATAGATAATATTTTGTCTTGATATAAAACAGACATTGCTATACAAGATGAATATTTCTTATTGAACAATTCTAATACTTTATATTTTTCTTTGAATAATTTAGTTCGAATTACAATTTAAAAATTCTCTATCTGGAAATAGTTTAGCAATCAAAAAATTAATTTTTAAAACTAAATCAATTTCTGGCGTCTCTATAATATATTACAAAATAATAATTGAAGATAATAAGTGGTATAAATGAGACTTCTATAATTTATTAGAATTACTATATTTCATATCTTGTATTTTTAATTAAACGTTTGTTAATCAAAGTTCTTTTCTTTTCTCTAAAGTACAAATTCTTGTTTCTAAAACAATAAATTATATGAAGTTTTTGAAAATCTTACAGTGTTCCATTCTCATATAAATAGTAAATGTAGTGAAGAGTAACATGTCATTCATGAGTATGTATTTTTTAACAATCGTTCATCTTGAGGGTGTGAGTGTAGATATAGATATTGTACTCATCCCTCGCCCACTCACCAGCGAGATATAAATATCACAAGAATTCTAAGACAATCGCGAATGTTCAGAAATGTCTGAAAGCCATAAAATCGTTTTTTCGTAGTCGAGCGAAACTCGAGTGCCATCCAGTTTATTAATGAATTTATAATGAGGAAATGAACATGTCTCTATCTTGTTAAATATATATTCATCAAAGCGATTAACTGTTACCATTTGATCAAACAGAACGCAGTGAGACGTCAAATTCACTTCAGCGGAACATAATTGGCTCGCAAATACAGAATTATTGCTTCTTTTATAACACAGTAATAGATTTGGGCAATACTAAATATTCAACAAGAAAAAATTCAGCTAGTATCAAATATATATTTAATCACAATGTATTTTGAGGAATGTAAATAAAAGACAGATAAGAAAACTAAAAATGTTCTATGATAATAATGTCTTTTAAAAAAATAAGAGTATCAGTAATGCAATAGTCTAATTTGAGCTAGTACTAATTACTCTTGCTCGATAATAGCTATTTCAGATATTAATTAAGAACCACGAAGCATCATTCTGTGATTCAGACTATTGAATTTGACGATTGTTTGTAGTTTACTGTTTTCAAAATTCAATTTCAAATATTAAATGACAAAAATGAAGAAAGGATTTTTCGTTCTTTATTAATATATAAATATATAGAAAAGATGAAGATTTTATCTTTGAACCTATTTTTAGAAATACATATATATATTCTTTTATCTCTTAATTAATATTATTTCATTTACTTGCCGATGAAACTCCCTTTCTTCTATGTCCTTCTAACATTAATGACTTGCACTTATATTAAGACAAGTTCATGAATACTCAAGTATTTACCTTCGTACTAATAAAGGTAGTTGAAAGTAAAACAAAAAACTGTCTGTAACATTTTCAGTGTACTTTGTTTACTAATGAGATAAAATTCTGTATTTTGTTCACTTAGGAAACGATAAATTAATATTTTAATACCTTCAGGTCTGACGATTGTAAATTTTATTCAGATATTTAAATAGATTTTTAAAAAAATTTCTTCAAAAAACAATGGGAAACTTTCCTTCAACGTCATCAAATGTTCCATATTTCTGGTCAAAACTTGAATTTTCACTACTCTTATTTGGTATCATTGTTTCAATTCCTTGTTATTTATTCGTGTTTTATCATCTTCTAACTGAAAAAAATAGACAAAAACCCTCCACAATCATGTTATGATCATGTTGTTATTCTACAATTTTCTTATTGTTATACTTGATCTAACGATGACATTGGATTTTAATCGTCTTGGATATGTATCACTTTTCAACCCTGTTCTTTGTCGTATTTGGCAGTTTATTGATCATGGAATATGGTATGGAGCTGTTGCAGTAATGTTTTGGGCATCATTTGAACGACATATTCTTATATTTCATCCAAGATTAGTTGCAACTCCACGTAAGCGTTTATTTATTCATTATATTCCATTAGCATTGTTCTCACTTTATACGCCAATATTGTTCTTTTATCTGATTTTTCTGTATTCATGTGGTCAGACTTTTGCTGTTACAGAAGTTCGTTGTGGTGTAATATGTCTCTATACTGATGCTCTCAATTCGCTTCAATTATATGATTCATACGTCGATAATGTGTTGCCAGTATTGTTAATCGGTATTTGTAGTATTACACTTTTATTTCGATTTATAAGACAAAGACAACGAATGAAACAAGCCGTGACATGGCGTCATTGTCGAAAAATGACTCTTCAACTTGTATTAGTATCTGCAGCCTACAGTATATGTGATCTTCCTTCTATAGTTGTTTCTATTATCCACTTGTCTGGTTATCCAAATTTTGCGAGTTATATTTGGTCACCATATTTAACACGTCTAACATTTGTTCCTTCTATTATTGTTCCATTTGCTATTTTACTTACATTGCCTGAACTAAAACAGAAACTTTGGGCGTTGTGTATTTGGAAACGTAATCGGCGAGTTATTGCTCCAAGAGCTATAATAAACTAAGACATTCATTTCAATGACTCAACTATATATATTATAGTATACATTTTTTTAATTTCTTTTGTCCTAATATTATGCATGATCACATGTTTTTTGTTGTTCGTGGTATGTGATGTGTCTATATCGATCTGTTAAAACAATACATTTATAAAATTATATTGAAAATAGTTCTCTTCTTCGAGCAATAATTAATAAAGTATATCATACAGTATAGATAGAATTTGAAATTGTCAATTTTAAATAGTAATAATCTCTTTGGACATGAAAAAGAAACGATATATAAATACTTACATTCTCATGACTATGTACATCGAAAAATATACGTTCAGGATTTGTTTTTAATGAATTATAATTATTGTAATCTTTGTCTGCAGAGATATTTATCATATTCATTTTCTATTTCTTCTTTTACATGTTAAAATCGATATGAATGAAGAGCTTCTATTGTTAAATATTCCCAATAGTTAAAAAATATCTCGTAGATTAAATGCATTGGTATTGAAAATCTTCTTATTGGTATTTTAATAGATTTCTATCCTTCATTGGTGAAGAAGTGTTTTATCATTCAACACGTTTACATTAAATGAGCGAGGATGTCATGCTGTTCATTTCAGGTACATCCATAATCATCATCATATCACTATTGTATTATAACAGGAAACAACATCTGCTATCAAATTCAAATTATCTATCTTTAGTTTGTCTTTATTATAAGAATATAATGGCTTTAATAAACTTAATACATCTTGTCTATGGATGAGTGTGTGGATGTGGATCAGAGATGGTTTTAAAAAGAACTAGAAAAAAATGTTTTTTCACCGGTTTTGAGTCCGATTCGAACGGTTAAACTTGAATTGAAATATGTCTCACACATCTTTGGTTACCACCATAGGTAAAATTTGTCAGAAATAATTTTTATTGAATAATCATTACGATCCTTATCTGATTCGATCAGACTTTTCAATTTTTCACTCCACATTATATCCACTCCAATAATACATAATGATGATAAGGTTTCGATATTTTCCGACAACAAAAAACGTACCGTTGGCAGTAAAGAATCTCGGAAAATTCCAATAGTAATATGTTGCAATGTCGAACAAAATTTCATTAATATTTTAATTGCCCGTAGTGAATAATCATCTGTAATAGTTATATCTGTAATTTTATTTTCATTTAATTTCAATTGAGAGATTTCATCTTTTTGCAATGATGACACTTCTTTCGTAAATAGTTTAATTGATTTCAATCTTAGTGTATGAATATTAGGTGCGTAGAACAATATATGGACTAATTCATGAAAATAAATATCATGAATATCGATATTGAGTTGAGTTAGTTGCTTTAAAGGAATCATTTGATGAAATTTATCAGTTACAAACCATTTAGAATGAAGAGAACAACGATCGGCAAGTGTAAGTTTATCGATATTTGGAAAATATTTTGAACAATGCGTTATTGATTGATGATCTTGAATGATAACATGACGAACTGAATGAAGAGTTTCTACATCAGATCTAATCTTCTCTGGGTTATTAGCAATTGAAAAATATTTTTTCTTCAAAAAACAAAACATGTAGTGCTTACGATTAAATTGATTTATTCTTTTTACCTATATGGTTGAATTGAATGAAATATTCCTTGTTGATACTCTCCAGAATTCGGTTCATATCTAAATAACCATTGTCGTTCTTGCCAAAATTGAGAATTAAAATCATTAAATAAAGTTTCGAATATATCTTCAGGATAATCACAAAAATTCTTTATTGTATGTTGTAAATTAAAGATTTGTAAATATGGCATATACAATATAATTAATTGTTCCCATTTATTCGCTTCTAAATAAGTCATATCACGAGTTGTTGAAATATAACATTGTTTTACTTGATTAAAATGATTTTTAACAAATTCTTCAAAATTAGCAAATTTAACAGTATCTAATTTGAGAGAAACGAAAGTTAATTTATTTGAAATAAATGAATAATTTTCTATAATTTGATTGTAAACTGCATTTATATATTTGACAGATAAACGGTAAAGATGAGGAAGATATGATAGAAAATTATGAAGTTCAGTAAGATAACATTTACCAATAATGACAAGATGTTCAATAGAACTTGAAATATTAGTAGAAATAGGTAATTGTTTTAATTGCATATTTTTGTCGAAGGATATTTTACAATATTTTAATGTTGGTAAAAGAAATATTTGATTATAGATTTGAATTTGATTTGAATTATCATTAATATGAATGACTAATGAAGAAAGATTTGGTAAAGAAGTTATATGAAGAAGAATATTTTCTAAATATTGTGATTCTGTATTCTCAAGAAGAAGGTTTTCGAGTTGAGAATATTGTGAAATATTTGAGAAGAGATGAATAGTACATGGATTTGATAAATGAAGTGATTTAATTCGATGTTTATATGGTTCGATGAAATGAGTATAATACTTTTGAAATATTGGTTTGGATATGAATGACGTATGTATTTTAATTAGAAGAGTTGAACTTGTTAATAAATTTTGAAATCGTTTGTTGAGATTGAAAAAACTATAATAAATTTCATAACCATCAAAATATTCAAAAACTTCTTTGAGAAGTTCATTGGAAATATCTTCAAAAATTCTTAAAAAGAAACGATAGATCATAAAAATCAGTTTATAAATATCACCAACCTTATATCCGGATTATTTGTTGTCAATAAAGTCCCTCGTAATTTTTTAACTTTACCATCATCATCAACGCCATTATTTAACATAGTATCTTGTTGTCTTTTCTTTTTATTCATACTGACTGATATCAAATGAAAATTTTCATATTAAAGATTGTTTTTATATTCAGATATTACGCAATAGTTGTGCAAGTACATTGTTATCTCTATTATTTATACAAGAAAAAGAAGTTCTTCAAACAAACTGAGATATCATTACAAAGTAAAATCATGAAAATATCCTAGCTTATTTTTAAACGTGTATCGAATCAAAAGGAAAATAGATCATGTTTATAGATTAATGATCTAGAATTTAGTAGGACTCAATGCGATTAGATATTAACTAATTAAGAATAATCATTGAAACTGTTTGTCAGCAATAAAAACAGTCAATATAGTTTTTGCAGAAAAGTTTTATACGGGTTTGCGCTAGATTTTCATCGTCATCAATTATTTCTTCTATCATTTGCACAACGTGCGCATAATGTGACTATGTAGCCACTTGGCTTTTCGTTGGCGCTGCCTTGTTCTCCACACAATTCACACGTCCGAGCCGCTTTATTTTCAGCATCGTCAATAGCATTCTTCATAGCGGGTGTGGTATTCGTCATATAAGTTCGAAGTTCTCCAAGTTTCTGCTTCACTTGTGTAAAAGCATACTGTTTTGCGTCTGGTGAAGCGAGATCAAGTTTCATGTCATTAACTAAAATATTGGTCAACTGCTGACATAATCGTCTCAGAATTGGTTCCCATCCGTCACTAATGCACAAACCATCATGCATAGAAGACTGATTTCTTGGAAGCGACCGTTGCCAGAATAAGTGAGGATAATCAGCATGGAGTTTAGCTGCAAGATCTTTACGCATCTTTTGCTTCAACTGGAGGTCCGACTGTAGATTGTCTGTTGATAATTGACTTAAGAATGATTGTAATCTATGAATATAACTCAATTGATAAGTAAACTAAAAATATCATATATAAGTACAAAAACATAATCGATAGTAGAGAATTATTTAAAGTGAGACATACCACTATGTAATCATGGGATAAAGTAATCTCCAATACAAAATAAACTTATTCAGAAGAATAAAACGAATGAAAGAATAATAATATTATAATTAGTGTACATAAACTAGACTGGTTTCGCTTTTTACAGGCTGTGATGCGTTTACTTTTTATTTAGGTAATGATATTTTTGTAAATGCCGTTGCTTGTTGGTATTCTTTATTACTTAATAAGTTTTGTAATTTCTGTCAATACTAACTTTGTCGAACAGTTTGAGAGTCTGTTTTCATCTGGCCACTATTCCTCAATTTTCAAACTCCATGAAAAATGTAATATAATATCATGTATTTATGTCCCTCATCCAATGCATTTATTTTAAAAATACTATACATACAGATATCTTCATTTATCATCATCATCATTATTCAAAATGTGTTGTAATATCTTGAGTCTATCAAACATACAAGAACTATAGCATCTTTGATACAAAGTCTTAATGATATAAAAGAATTGTAGATATAATTTTTAAATGTACCGTAATTAATACCAATTCATTCGTTTCACCTTTGGTTACACTTTAGAATTACAGAAAAAACTTGATTTAGTTTGTAGAAGGAGAACTGAAAAAAGACTCATAAATTATAGTATAGATTATTACATGAAGTTGTATGATGAAAAAAAATTATTGAATATTAGATTTCTTATTAATTATTTTACTATATAACAAAACAATTGTTTGATAATGTATGTATCTAGCTGATCTATTAATCGATCGTATGATATCTCGTCAACAACAGAGTTACCGCTTTTCTTACCTATGAAAGTAATTCGTTCGCTGGTATCGATTTCGTGTATACTAATGATTTCATACGATTCGCAATGACAACAACTGATATTAAGATGACACACAACGGTCTTGCTGAAATTTTGTATATTAATTGTATCAAATGAATAAGGAAATTCGATTTTATTTTAACCTACATATGCTTTCCATTGATTCTCGAAATATCTTTGTATCTATTTCTTCGGATTTATTTTTTACTTATTACGTATAATATAAATCAATCGATTATTTCAAAAGTCAATAAACTTCATGGTCATAATCTTTAAGGTAACTATTAAATATTTTGTATATTATCGTAAAAAATCACCAATTATCAATGCAGAATTTAGTACGATGCATTCAGTTATGATAATTGTATAAAAAAGAGATATCTACTTTCATTCGATTGATATTATCGAATAGTCTTAAGATAAATATGCTACTTCTTTTTTTTTACCTTTTTTCTTCTTAGTTCGTCATATGATAGATTGAAAATATGATCGTTAGGTGCTGTACACATGTCTTTTATCGATAAAAAATATCCTGAATATTTATCTATAACTAATATGTATAAACAATGAAGAGTCTATATATGTGTATTCATATTTCTAAAATTAAAGATAAATATATATATATACTACGTTATAAAATAATTCTGTATGATAGATAATTATTCAATTGAATAAATTCTAACAAATAATTATTTGAAAGTTTGAAATTATTCTATATATTAAGTATTTAATAGAGTTTATATGCAATAAGTAAAAAGTAAGTGTTTTATCGTCTCGTTTTACTGTGTATTATATGATGAATAATAGAAAAAAAATCTTTTTATTACCATTCGATTTGTTTGGATGTTTTTTAAGTGCAACAAAAAATA